CGCGCCGCCCACCGCGCCACGCCCGCGTCGCCGCCGCTACACGCCTCCTCCAGCCTGCACCACACAGTTATATTATAAACTCACGCTTTGTTAATTAAATTAATTATTGATTTTTCACATTAGACATGCCTGACAAGTTTTTCATTTTTAGCTTTGGCGATGAACTATTGTAACTTATTTACAATGTACTAGTTGTCGCCTGCGATTCTGTGCGCACGGAATTAAAAAAACTTAATTAGTAACCTATGTATTCTTCCAGGCTATGTTCTACATATATGACAAATCTCAGCAAGATCCGTTCAACTGTTGTGGATACCTTCTAACAAACATCCGTCCATCCATACATTCGCATTATTTGTAAGAAGTAGGATTCTTGTCTACCGTTTTGTATCGAATACATATAAATTAATTTTAACATATTTAAGTTTACTTATTTGTGATTTTTAAACAGTTTTTATTTTCATTAGTACAGATATTTAGATGTTGTTGTTATATACCTCTTTTTGAGCTGTGCGAGTGTGGCTATCTCCGCCCTGAGGTCGGCGAGGCGAGCGTGCTGCGCGCGCAGGTCCAGCGTCAGGTCCAGGGAGGTGCGCGCGCCTCCTCCGCCTCCCCCGCGAGACGCACGACCACCTCGCACGCGACCCCATCTACACAACACATGGAAACAGTTCAATAATAACATAGACAGAATTACTGAAAAGTGAGATTGAATTGAAAATCAATGTAAAAACTAACAATTCTAATTGTGAATGTCGATATTTTATTAATTTCTATTATATATTTAATTTAGATATGATTGCCAATAGAAATGTATTGCAGAATAGTACATAATGCCTTTAAAGGGAAAAGTTACTGATCTATATAAATAGATAGATGATTGCTTGGATATGACAATTTTTGTTTTGTTCCGATTTGACTCGCCTGTTTGTGTTATATGATACTTAATTCTATCTATATTATTACTTCCAATCTACACCACCGCTAGAAATAATCAGCTTCAAAATGGCGGAAATCAAATGCGCACAGAATACTTTGTCTTATAGCCAGTGTATTTATAGAGAACATAGATTGACATAGTGGTAACACCATACCTGAGAGACCTGCGCTCGCGCACGCTCCTGTCGAAGGGTATGCGGGCGGGAGGCTGCAGGGAGCCGCGCCGCGCGTACTGCGCCATTGACGAGTCTGACTCTGAACGGTTCAATCTGAAATTATACATCATTAATTAACACTTTTAATAGAAACTAGAGGTCACTCGTTACTTCTTTAGCGGAAATTTAACATGGCCGCGTGCATAAGCTATCTTCCCATCAAAGTATTGTCAGAATCGGTCCAGCCGTTCCGGAGATTATCCGGAACAAGCGCTGCCTTCCATACATACATATTTTAAATACATAAAAATTACTATTTCGTTATTAACTGCGCAAATATAACACATAAACGATATTACATACAGACAACAATTTAATTAATATTCATAGATAGATTAGATAAAAATTCTACCTTAGTAAAGTTAGAAGTCTAGATTTTTAGAATAGCTAATGATTATAATACTGGACTGTCCTATCACCATGGGCTTTCACTGAATCAATTTTGACAATGTAATCCCAAACTTAGGACAAAAAGTAGGCAGGAAAGTGCACAAATAGATAGTTATACTAGATATTTAAAGTAAAATGATGATTTGAAACGAACCTGCAAATATAATGTCCTTTGCCGATGCT